AGAAAAAGGAACCCACCTGCATCAGCTGGGGCAAGGCACTTGTTATGGAGCACATAGAACGTGACAGTCACCTGTAGTCTCGACACATTCCAATACCCTCTTGCGAGCGGACATTTTAGGCAAAGCTAGAAACCCTAGTATATTATCCGTGCTAACGCTACGGTAAAATGAAAAATAGGATAAAATTTATAAAAAAGTAAAACGAACAATCAAATTCATTAAGATTCACGTTTCTCGATGATCAAGCTCCTCCCTGATGAAGCCTGCATCCTCAGCTTGCTCCTCAACTATTGCTTTTTGGCCTCCAGCCTCCTGTAGGTCAGTTACTCAAATAGCAATATGACGATATCAAACAAGTTTAAATACAAGTTCTCAATGGACAAGAGTTCTATCTTTGCAGTTTCATAATGGTATATGCTGAAGTTACATATCCTTACCAAAAATAAGAGGCAGGTACAAATTCAAGTTAGATATACCAAAGTTACCATTTTTTTGTTAAAATCATACCAAGTACACTAAGAACAAGAATACACAGATGCAATTAGAGAAATCACAGTAAAATCTGTTAATTTGACATTGCATAGTTCCCAGTCAACAAAAGAGCTTCCAGTATGAAGGCAGGAAGGGTGCAGGAACAGGAGGCAGAATCTTAAAAGCAACGTGTACACACTCAATTTACCAATGGCTTCTATGAATTTTCTCCAAAGGCGGTACATCAGAAACAAAATACAGGGGATATCAAAGTGCCTAATTCCTTAGCCCATGAGCTTCCCAAGGATATTCAAAGTATATGAATAACAGAGGTGCAGTATTCAAACTACAATCAACTAACGAAAAAATATAGAGGATTATGTTTGCATGTCTTGCATACTTCTTTTTCCCTAGATACAGATTCTCTGGACAAGAATCTAAAACAAAACAAGGCACAGCTTATTCTAGATTAGGAAGTTTGGACAGTTGCTATGCCTAACTTATGCAATTAATTTCAGCATTTTCCTTTCACTCCACATACTACTGTAATTAATAAAGCAATTTTAACGAACAATTACCTCAATTACAAACGTAGATTCTAGGACATCGACATAGTCCTAAATGTGACATTTTGACTTGTGATTTGTAAGAACATATGTAGTTTCAAATAAAAAAATATATATATGATGTATATTTTTTTAAGAAAAGTAGGACTGAAGAGAGCCCTGGACTCTTCAGAAGTCTTAAATGTTGCTATCTGCTGTTACCGAACTCACAACCTCATAGAGCAGCATTCTAACCTGCCTCCTCTAGCCACATAACCCTCCCACAACGTAAAGGTACTCTCAACGAAGAATCTAGGAGTACTAATTCTATGTTCTCAATCTACAGAATCATTGACCCATTGATGGTTAAACTGAATATCTGACAAACAAATGTTCTACAACAGATGGCAAGACGTTGATAGTATTGTACATGTGCACTCGAAGCTGTCCTTGACAGTTGTTAAATGCAGAACAACTATAATGTTCATGTATGAGCTACCAAGCATTAGCCTGTCATTTTCAACCCTGCTAAATATTAAAAAATACAGTAGTTACCAAATTGAAATAGTACTCCTTCACTTCTGGCCTTATTGAGTCCATTTTCTCTTTAATTACATCTGGCTTGTACCTACACGAAGATAAAATACATTAAATTAATTCCATCGAGCACATGATGAGCAATCCAGTCGACCTGGTGACGGACACGGCCTGACGGACGAGCAAACGGAAGTAATAGGTGAAGTTGGGATTGGCAATCACCGTGGGCGCCTCCGCTATGTCGGCGCAGCTCTGGGCCTCCCTGTCCTCGTTGAGAAGCTGGTGGAACCTCCGGTCCATGTTGACGCCGCGGCGTCTGGCCAGACCATCGTCACGCCGCCCGCGCCATCGTGGAGGACGTGCCTGAACCGGGACTTCATGCGCCTGACCCGCGACGCGTCGTCGATCGGCGCGCCTGTCTCCTCATCGTGCACAAACACAAGCGCGGGCGACGCGGCTACCGTGCATCTAGGCCTTGGCGTCGACGATATCGCAGCGGAGGTCGTGTAGCACAGCGAAGACCTCGGAGAGGAGGCCTAGGCGGCCGACGCCGACGAACTCGAGCAGGGTGGGGCGGTGGGTGTCCTAGGCGTGGTGGCGGCCTAGGAACCCTAGTCGTGCATCGTTTCCCCGCGACGAGAAGAGGAAGTACGGACGGAACAGAAGGGGAAAAGAAAAACAATGGGTGTGGGTGTGGAATCGAACCGTGGCCAACGGGGGCGCGGGCGTGGGCGGCTGGTTGCGGGCGTGGGAGGTCCGACGCGAGCAGTCGCTGGAGCGAGGCACATCCAAAGAAACAGGACCGTCGGATGTGGTTGAGTAAGGAGAGAGAATGAATGAGAGTTAATCCAGTGCGCATGTTTTTAATGTGATCTTTATCTGTGTGCGTTTCATGGGGTGGACGTAGTTTAGGTTTGTGACTGTAGACGTGTGATTTGTTTGGTGGTTGTAGGATAATTTGAAGTGGTGTATTATAAGGGTAGAGATAGGTGGGGATTTCAGAACAAATAGATAGGAGTCTCTCTTTCAGTTTCTTCTTTTGCATACTATCAAGGCTGGTGCCTCGTGGGAGCATGTAACTCGAAACAGAATGTGCTTCATCGCCCTCTAAAGATGTCATTCCTCCTATGACCAAACAAAACAATGATGTCATGATTTTATAGATATACATAGATGCTACTAGGTTTGATGACATTGTGACTCAACCTGATGAGTTGGATAGGGATCTTGATGAACTGATACCGATCCTACTGCTGTCCCTTTTCTTCAATGCTTTCTTTCAAGTTTCTGGTGTTCTCATGGGAAGATTAGCATAGCTGCTTGAAATGTCAATGGGTTCTTCTCTCTTTCGTCCACCACTAATAGCATTTTTCGTGACAAAACATGGTGGTACTTTCTCGCAACCACTAGGATCAAATATCAGAACCTTCATCCGATACATCCCATCATACTTGAATACTAAGAAGTCCATCTTTTTCAAGTCATGGACACTAACAAATGACTTCCACCCATACTGAAGCACTATTCTGCCCATATTCTTTGCAACTTGAACATCAAAAGTATAACCGCCAAGTGATTCAGGAGTAATACTTCCTTCTATTTTGTCTCCGAAATGTTTAGCAAATTTACCCGATATGACCTGCGGCAGCAAGATTAACGCAGAACAAAGTTCAGATGAGGTAAAGGAATCAGATAAATTTACACCAACTTGGCCGTGGCGTTGGCGGGAGTGGTACGGCGGGCGTGCGTGTGGCGAGGCGTGGCAGCGAAGCCTTGTGGCAAGCGCGTGGTGCGACTACTGCTGGCGCGGAGGGCGCGCCGACGTGCGTGGCGAGGCCGGCGTGGCGGGCGGCGGGCGGCCGCGGTCGACGACAGGCGCGAGCGGGCGCGGCGGTATTTACCTGGCTGTGCCGCGCCACCGATCAGCGCCCCGGTCGTCGCCACGTCAACCCTCTCGCCGCGCCATCATGCATGGCGCGGCATAGGCGTTTCGCCGCGCCAGTGAAATAGGCGCGGCCAAAAGTGTTAGTTTTGAAAAAAAAAATAAACGGTGTTAGATTTAAAATTAGTTTAAAAAAGTGTTAAAAAATCTTCTGGGCATGGCCAACGATGTTTTAGGCCAGCGACGATCTGGTACATCTAGATTGGCAGTTCTCTTCAAACTGAATTTCTCCGAGTACATCTAGATCAGAAACAGGAGCGTGGATCATTAGCCTGGTGGCAGAGAGGATTCGGCCGGCCCCTTGAATTCGACGAAGAATTCCTGGATCCCGTCGTTCACCATCTGCACCTTGTAGTCGCTCATCATCCTGCGACGCCAAGAAACCAAGAAAGCCGGCAAGAATGGCCAGATCGAAAAAACAAGCAGAACACGTCAAGGAAAATTGGAAAACAAACGAGAGGTCCAGGATCCTCACAACTTCATGATGTCAATCTCGGGGCGCTTGCTCGGGGACGACATCTTGGAAAGCGGGGAAACAAGAACAGCAGTAGAAGGGCCCTCCTCTCCTCTCCGCTCCGTTCCTGGCGTTGGGGATAAGAGGGAGAAAGGGATTCCTCCGCCTACGCTCCGCGCCGGCAGCGACGGCAGCCCCTGCCCGGCTTCGCGCCGCGTCCGCCGCGCCCTCCCGATGCCCAGAGGCGGTCGCCTCCACCACTGGAGAAGCCGAAGCCACCTCGTCTCCGTCCTCCTCGTCCAGACCCGCCGCCCCGCCCCTCAAGGCCGCACGCGAACGATGTGGGGCAGGAAGTCGTGGACCCCAAGCAAGAGCGCCACCATTCACTTGAAGGTGGGCCTGCCCCTCAGGATGGCAACGGATCGGGTTTGGGGCGGATATCCGTGGGTTTCGGGTTCTGTGGGTTCGGGTTCGGGTTTGGGGATGGTTTTTCACCCACGGTTTGCGGGTTCGGGGCCCCGAAACCAATCGGGTTCGATTTCGGGTTTGATTTTCCACCCGTGGATATCCAATGGATATCCGAAATAAATCATTTGGAATTAAAACTCATGTTTTATAATATACTAATAATAATTTGTTTACTTAGATTATTAAATTTATTTAAAGTTGACTCATGAAAATATTTATTATTTGTTGCCTCTTGTTTATACATGTGAATATGTGTATATATATCCGCGGGTTTCGGGTATCCATTCGAGTTTCGGGTATCCGTTCGGTTTTCGGGTATCCGTAGGTTTGGTTTTGGTGATGATTTCCACCCGAATCGGTTTTCGGGGCGGATTCGAGTTTCGATTTTGGGTGCATAGAGACTCCACCTGATCCGAATCCGACCCGTCGCCATCCTTCGTCGCATCGCATCACTCGACTCCAACTGTAGTCAACTCCCATAAACAAACCTCATATTCTCCCCTACCCTCCCTTTCCCAAAAGGTCAACTCATCCATCCCCTCCACTCCGCCGATCCCCAAAATCCAAAGCCCAAGAAAACAAAATGGGCAATGGCATCACCAAGAACCCATGCTTCTCCGGCGACCCGTTCGCCGCCGCCGTCGCGTCGGACCCGCTCCCGGACGACAGCCATGGTCACTCCTTCACCTACGTGCCATCGGGCGCCGCCTTCGACCAGCCCCCGGCGGCTGCCGCGACGTCGTCGGAGTCGTCATTCTTCTCTCTGTCCGGCGCCGCCATCAGCGCCAACCCGGAGACGTCGGCATCGATGCCGTCGTTCCGCGCGTTGAACGAGATGACGTGGCCGCAGTCGACCGCGTGCACGTTCGAGAGCTCGCGGTCCTTCGCCGCCGTTCCTCTCCAGGCGGCGCCGCCCAGGCTTTCCATGTCCGGGCCGGTCCAGTTCACGTCCGGCCGGTTCTTCGAGACATCCGGCTCCGCGTCCACCATCTCCGGCCCGCCCTCGGACTCACCATTCATGTCAGGTCCACTTGACCGCTCCTCGTCCACCTCCTCGTCCGTGGCCGTGGGGCTCCAACCGAGCGTTTCTCAGCTCATCGCTGAGCGCCGCGCCGCGCGCTCCCGCCTCCGTGACGAGCGATCCCTGCTACGGTTCTTCGTGAGGACCGCCTCCAAACTCCGGCTCGGGTCGCCGCGCTATGGCCGCCGGCCACAGGAACCTGCTGAGCCGACAAAGGTCTCCTTCAGCGATGGGGACTACCGCTCGTCGCCGAACGGCGATGTGGAGTGGGCTCAGGGCATGGCCGGCGAGGACCGGTTCCACGTCGCGGTGTCCGAGGAGCACGGCTGGGTGTTCGTCGGAATCTACGACGGTTTCAACGGCCCCGACGCGACCGATTACCTCTTTGCCAACCTCTACGTCGCCGTGCACAGCGAGCTCAAAGGCGTGCTCTGGGACGACATCCAAGCCGGCGACGGCGCCAGTTGCGGTCAGCAAGAAGCGGCCGCAGGCAATGCCGAACGCCTCTGTCTTGCTGAGGCCGACGGCGACAGCGCGGAGGCTAAGCGCAGACGGACGGAAGTGCCTATGCCAGGCAACAACGCCACGCCGGTGCACCGCGACGTCCTGAGGGCGCTGGCGCGGGCACTGAAGAAGACGGAGGAGGCGTTCTTCGCGGCGGTGGAGGAACGCGCGGCCGAGAGCCCGGAGCTGGGGCTGATGGGCTCCTGCGTGCTGGTCATGGTGATGAAGGGAACTGACGTTTACGTCATGAACGTCGGGGACAGCCGCGCCGTGCTGGCGCGGAGACCGGAGCCCGACCTGAAGAACGTCCTCGGCAAGGCATCGCAGGACCTGCAGCAGTTCAAGGCCGAGATCATGCGCGAGCTGGAGGCGCACGACATGGACGGCCTGCAGGCCGTGCAGCTCACCGCAGAGCACAGCACCGCGGTCCAGGAGGTAGGCCATCTTTCCCTCCTCTGCTCCTCTCCTCTCCTATCTAGAACTTCAATTATGACTGATTTTGGAACAAGAATTCATCCTCGTATATTCTTGTCACCATCTCATCTCATCATTAAAAAAAGAGGAACTTTTAAGTTTTGACTACGAGACACAACTGCTCATGAACCGGAAAAACTGTACTGAATGAAGCACACATTATAAGACCGACGAAAAACCTGTTACACGATTGAGTTTTTGGGTTCACCGAGTCGGAATTTTGGGATGATGCAGGAGGTGATGAGGATCAAGGGCCAGCATCTGAATGATCGGCACGCCATAGTCAATGGCCGGGTCAAGGGGAAGATCAACGTCACCAGAGCGTTTGGGGTCGCCTACCTGAAGCAGGTAACTTCAGTTCTAGTATTTCGTTTTCAGCGCGCATGCTCGAGTACGTAATTTCTGTTGCCGGTCAGGCTTCTGCAGTTTGTTCTGCATAATTAGCGTTTAAGACGTGCAGTTCTTCTGAACATGCTCTGTGCACTGTACTGTCACAGTCTAGGACTAGAACTGCGACTGCGAGTAACCAATCATGTAGTTGTAGGCCCTACGCTCCAAATCATGGCTGATTAGTGGCCGTTCAACAGTGGCTTGGTGGAGTAGGACTGTAGGAGTAGCTTCTACTAATTCCGTTGATTCGACCACCCCTTACTGTGTCTCGTGGTCCCAAAGCGTCAAAATTCGCTTAAATGTCAATCTGCAAACCTGACGATTCTGTCAATGTTCGTTAATTTTTCCCCCCTCTTTGGCAGCCCAAGTGGAACAACAGGCTTCTGGAAGCCTTTAGGATCAACTACGTGGGCACGGACCCGTACGTGACCTGCGCGCCGTCGCTGTGCCACCACCGCATCGTCGGCGCGCAGGACAAGTTCCTGGTGCTGTCCTCCGACGGGCTCTACCAATTCTTCACCAACAAGGAGGTGGTGGACCAGGTGGAGGCGTTCACCGCCGCGGAGCCCGACGGCGACCCCGCGCAGCACCTCGTCGGGGAGCTCGTGCACCGCGCCGCGAGGAAGGCCGGTAAGTAACCCAACCGTATGTCCATGAGCACGCACGGGCACGACACACGCATGGACCCCCCATGATCAGGATTCAGACGGGTCTCTTGACAAATTCGCTCTCTTTGGGTTGCATTGCAGGCATGGAGTCACGCCAGCTGCTGGACATCCCGCGCGGCGCGAGGAGGCACTACCATGACGATGTCTCCATCATCGTCATCTCGTTCGAGGGACGGATCTGGAGGTCGTCTGTCTAGGCGTGTCCGAGTCCGATGACGAGGTTTCAGAGGTCCAAGGCGTCCTCATAGTTCAGATGAGAAGAGATGGATGAGGCGATGGTCAGACAGTCTCAAGGGCGAGGGCACAGCGCTGCCATGAGCTGCCTTCAGTGTTCGACTATCGTTTTTTTTTACCTTATATGCTAGTAGAACCGTGTTCGTTCTTGCCGAAACTGTTGTACATAGTTCCGCAAGATGAACTCTATAGCTAGGCTTATATGTAGTAAGTAGTAACCCCCAAAGAAAAGAAGAAGAAAAGAAAAGCAAAGGGAATGTAATAGTAGTAGTATGTAATTATGGGTTTCGCATGATTGCGATCGAAAGAAGAAGGGGGTAATAGTATATTTAATAAGTAGTTACTGCTGTGTGTATCGCTCTCAGTCTCAGCCTAGCAACAGTAGAAACATGGAATCGACATGTTCTAGCACATCTGGGGCAACAATAGGCTGCAACATTCATATTGCCAGTATCAATCATTCGAACGGTGGATCCTGGTTTGGCTAGTCGTTTCGTGTCTTCTGAATGAAGAAAAAAAAATGTGACCAAACATCGTTGTCTGATGCAGCCTACTCTACGTCACATAGGCTAGCAGAGCCGTCACAGGTTTCTTCGGTGCCAAAGACAGATCTGTTCATGGCTTTGGCAAAAAGATATATTATTAAGTTGTCCCCCAATGATTCATTAATGATTCAACGTTCAATTCGATTGTGTACGTCAAATACTATCTGTCCCAATCATACTGTTCGGAGGTGAAATTACAACGAATCACTGTAGAAATCACGTGTTAAACGAGTGTGACTGACAAGCGAATCCTAGTGCCCTCTTTCCCCAAAATTTGTTAGTGTTACAATTACAAAGCAAATTAAATTCTTTAACTAGTATAGTACCTTTCTCCAGTTCTTTTTAGAAGAAAGAAAACTACAGCGGGCAAGTTGCCAGCCTGAACCGTGTATTAACATGCGAGGTTTTGCGTACAAGTTTTGTGGAATTCCAAGAGGGCCTCGTCTGCTGGGTTCTTTTTCAGCGTGTGGAAGAGAAAGGCTTGCCGATATGACATGATGCACCTGGGCAAAGGGGTTGCTCCATCTGTCCAAGACTCGCATTACGATCCTTTCCATTTCTTCTAGCCTAATAATTTTTGAACTTTGTTTTAGAAAATTAGTATAGTTGGACACATGATGATTGTTAGAGATTGAAAAAAAAACTCATTTTATTGGGTGCTTTTTGCAACCGCCCATAAACAAACGTTTGGAGAAATACAGTGCACCGTGCAAATCCTAACTTTAATATTTTGGTGCCTATTGTAACACACTTAACAGAAGATCTCCACTAAGGATCTCAATCAAGAAAAATACAAAGGGGGAAGCGGGGGCATTGCCTATGTTTTATTGGAAGGTTCTCAATTGACGAGAGGACAGTGGGGAGAGGTCCGCTGGCTAGGTTTCTTTTTTAAACAAAAAAAATAAATAAAGCATAGCCAATGCCCTCTTCCCACTCTCCTCTTATGGAAAATGTGTTCTCACGCATTAGTGTTTAACATGTTTGCTTTGGCATTATTGTCATGTAAACTTGATACTTGTGTATCTCAATGTCACTGAAAACATGTTACTAAGATTAGGTAGATTGTAACGATAGGTGATGTTAAACATTTTGTTTTCTCTTGATTTTTTTCGGCTCCTGTGGAAATGCACGAGCACAGATACAATTAAGTTAAAACTAGATACATAATTTTGATTAGTCGTAGGTACGAAGTAACTCATATGTAATCCTTCCCATTATTCTTATCCGCCGTACGCTGTTACACTTGGATCATGGTAACAGAAAAATATCTACAATCATACAAAGTGCACTAATGTAAAAGGACTGGAGCTGCTCAACAAAGGGAAAAAAAATAGAAAGCATCACCAGGACAAATGTGTTTGTGTGCGTGCACTAATGTAGTACAAGTGGATAAGTCGCTTATTAGCGACTGCATAAACTATAGTCCTGGTGATGCTTTCTATTTTTCCCCCTTTGTTGAGCAGCTCCAGTCCCTTCATGAATTTTGGCTTGTAGAGTTGAAGCAGTATAGAAATAAATTATTTATTGATTAGCAAAGACATTGTAAGACTGCAAATTTAAGTACTGCGGAATGCCATGGAAGCCACGCACAAATAACAACCAATGTATATACAGTAAACCAGTGCTGAAAAGAATGCTTTTTAATAGAGTTCAGTACTTTTATTGCTTTTGTGATCCGATATATGCAATAATACACGTAAATACAGACATGCAGACAGTTAGTCCAGTGAATTAGTAGAACCATGATTAGGAGAAATTGAGCAGCAAATTAGAATAAGCAGCAATCTGAATTCTGAAATTAGCTAGTAGGTATAGGAAAGGTGGAACAGAAGAGCGTCACTGCATGAGGTGGAATACTGGGTCACACGCACGCACAGCTTCTGGGGCAGCAGCTCGATCTCATCACGCCGGTGGCTGCAGACGGCCGGACGTGCAACGAATCGCTTGCAGATGGGCGAACAGCCAACCGTCTGGAGTACTGGACACGTGCGAGTGATGATAGCTGCAGATGGGCTAACGACCCATGCATGGGACGGATGAACGTGTGAGTCATCGCGGCGGATAAAGAGACATCAAATCGAGTAATCGACAGATTCCCAGCTACATGCCTAGGAAACTGACAAAAATTAAAAAATTAGTTGTATATACATAAGACAGAGATATGAAAAGAATCTGCGTTGATTTATCTGGTTTGAATTCGTTGGTCCAAGTTGAGAGCTCGATGCCTTCGCAAACCTTCTGGAAGGGCGTAGTTTATATATGGCTCGTTTGGTAGGTCAACTCTTGCACAAAGCACACACGCCTAGTTGAAAGCCTATAACGTAATCGCACACCTCATTTTGCGCAAGTGGGGATAAAAGTACTTGGGTTAGTGATCTGCCCTGGCGCTGCATCGAGACGTGAGACGTGAACCATGTCAATCTGTGCTGTGCTAAGTGCTAACGGTATCACTGGCCTTTCAGCAATATATAGTTTCCATTCTCTTTTGTAGTCAACGTCATCACTGGTTATATAAGTACGCAGTACAGTTGTTTACATGATGATGAGCAAATTTTCTTTGAGAATCCTTATGTCCCAAGGAAACTTCGGTTTTATAAAGAGCACGGTGGCCTACAGATTGTGCTTGGGGCATAAGAATTGTGAGTGATGCCGTTTTGTCGTGGTTTGTCCGTGCTCATGAGGGTCTTGTTAAATACTGCAGCAAAAGCGCCGCGTGGTCTAACAGGGCTCTCGATGGAGTTTTGCTAGAATGCTAGTGTATATTATCAAGGATAGAGATGCAAATAGTTTGGTCCGTAAGCATGTAAATGAGTCGATTTTAAGTATATGACGTTTATATAGGTGAGTGCACATAATCGAGTGGATATATCTATTATGTGATTTGCATAAAAAAGAGTCATTTCTAAATTGTTTTCACAAAAATCATTTTAAAATAACATATTTATGGGTTCCCACACAAGTCTATCCATGTGTTTACAGATAAACACATAAAAACAAAGCGTAGAGAAGCACATGGCAATGGGCGTCATCATCATCAGGTTTCTTGAGCGTAGAACGTAGACCCATCATTAGTTCCAACCATTATTCTCGAAGTCGTAGCTGGTTCTTCTCTTCAAACCAAGTTATTTCAATATGTTTTATGCTGGCCAACATCCACCCTATGATTATGTAAGCTTTGTGACTAGAACAATGCAGGGGGGTAATAACTTATCCTTTTTATCTATTGGACTAGCTAATCCTTAACAAGCTCATATAAAGTATCAAGACAATCACCCTTGTCCTCCTTCCACACACTCCATCCACCTGAGACCCTCTCACACACATTGTCGGGTTCATTAACCCGGGGTCCCTCATGGACCGGCTTTCAAAAAAAAAGGCTCGGCCCAGTAGACAATGTTGCCAACGACGCAACTCCTGGGCCGGCCTAAAAACCTAACGGCAGGCCAGAAGGGCGATCCAATCTCCAAACCGGAAGGCCTAGCCAAGGAGGAACGGCGCCCGCTTCCGACTCTGGCCCGCCTCCGACCGGAAGGCCTCGCTTTCGACTCCGGCCCACCTCTCAGACCGGAAGGCTTCGCTTCCGACTCCGGCCCGCCTCTCCAACCGGAAGGCCTAGCCAACAATGCTTCCGACTCGACCCGCGTCTCCGACCGGGGATACACCGAACCTCAGCTTACAGCTCTTCTCCAACTGGCGCAGTCGGAGCCGACTGGGACCAACCGACTGGGGACGCCTGCTCGGTGAGGACCAGGAAATGAGCAGAGCAAGTAAAGCAGGACGCTCAAGTCAAACCACAAAATCAAGGACCGTACCATTTACACCTGCAGGACAGTACCGACATGACGTGTCAGAAGGGTGTCCTGCAACCTTCTAGGCATGTCAGAACCCAAGCAGTGTTGTGGGCGCCGACGATTTGCCCTACAGTGTTGTGGGCGCCATCAATTCCCATACCAGGCAAACACAGTAAAACCCCCCCACATGCCTCTGGGCATCGACGGTGTTGTGGGCGCCATCATTTGCCATACATGGTGAATACGGTAAAACCTCCCACATGCGTCTGACACAAACAGTGTTATGGGCGCCTACCATCATCTTGTACCCGACGGCGTGGGCAACAAGACTTAGTAGCATACGAACTTTCACTCTCTCTCTCTCACTTGTAAAGACCGTCCCCTTCATCTATAAAAGGGGATGCGCTCTCTCCCAACGGGGAGACCGATCAGTTCACAACTGAAACACACTCCAACGATCTGAATGACCAAGGATTCCAACGAACAACGGACGTTCGAACACTTAGCACATAGCAGAGCTCCCGTCGCTCTCGGCCCTTCAGACAAGAGTCCGTCCAGACCTCTTGCACCCCCATCTTACTCCCTTCTGTTTGTAACACCATAGCAAACTTCGAGCACCTGGGCTTA